CTGTACAGGGTTTCCAAGGGAGTAAATCTTTACAGGAGTAGAAAGCCTCATCTTTCTCCCGCGGAGCGGCTGGTAGTTTCGAAACACTGACCTTAAGGTTGGCAGCCCGATTCGTAACCACTACACTAACAGAGCTCCTGTAATTATCGATAGGTATGGATTAATTGCTGACATTGATTTTTTTGTTTTTGTGGTATTGTTGCTTTGTTTGTTCTGTGTGTCTTCCTTTGCTAAGTTCATGCTTTTTGTGTTCTTTCTTGTGCATTTCCACATAGTTTTATTGTTTCCACTTTCCTGGATTTTCATTTTCTTGGTATATTGTGAAGTGTTAATTTTCTCTGAGATTACCTTATAGTCCATTAACTTTTCCCTCCATTTAGTGAAGTCTATTATATCCTGTAATGTACCTAACCTTCTCAACATTTGGATCTCTGTTCCTAGTTTCTCTTGTTTTATGTTGTAATTGTTTTGATCATAGACTGACCTCCCAGATTCTCTGAGTTTGTTCTAACAGTTTTGTTCTGTTCTCGACATTTCTTTCTTTCGATTTAGTTCAGAAAGGTGCTGCCACATGTGTGAGTCTCTGATTGTTGTCTGTTCTTGTTGGTTCTCAGTCCACAGAACTCCCTTTGCAAAATTCCTTAGCTTGTTTATCCTGGAATGTCTTGATTACACCATATTTTATTGATACCTTTGCTGGATAAAGGATTCTTGGTTGGCAGTCTTTTTCTTTCATGGTTTTATATATATCGCCCCATTGCCATGTTGCTTGCATGGTTTCTGTTGAGAGATCCAAGCTTAATCTAACTTGCTTGCCTTTGTATGTAACACTTCTGGTTTACCTAGCTGCTTTCAGGAGTGTCTCCTTATCTTTGATTTTGAAAAGCTCCATTATGATATGTCTCAATGATTTTCTTTTGCAGTCTATCCTTCCTGTGGGGTTCCTTGAGATTCTTGAATGTTTATCTTTTCAGGATGTTAGAGAAATTTTCCTCCAGAAGTTCAACGATTTCCTCTGTGGACTTATGTGATTCTTCCTGTTCTGGAATGCCGATAATTCTTAAGTTATCCTTCTTCATGTTGTACAACATGAATCTTAGATCTTCAGATTTTTTTTTCTCCATTTTTCTGTTTGCTCTTCTTAGTGGTATTGAGACATTTGGCTTCCAGCTCACTGGTTCTGCCCTCCATCTCTTCTATTCTACTCCTTTGCCCTTTCAGTGTATTGTCTATTTCTGAGATTCTAGTATTGATCATTTGGACCAATTTCTGTAGGTTTTGAATGGTTTCCAATGCTGTATCTATCTTATTTGATTGTTCCTGTAGCACTTTCCTACCTTCTTCCTTATTTTTCTTAACTTCATTGGGAAGTGTTTTGAAACATTTTGTAATCATTTTTCTGAATTCTTTCTCAGGCATTTCCAAGGGCTGCCGCCCTCCTTCCAGAATGGAGTCCAGGTCTACCACTAGGTCATTTCTGTCAGACATTTTATCGTGTTTTTTGGACATGTGCTGATATGGTCATCTGCTTTTGCTTCTTGGACATGTTTAGTGTTTAAATGTGGCCTTAATACTTAATTATGTAGTTTGGTATGTTTTATGATTTCTGATTGCTTCCAGGTAGATGTGATCACACTCTTCTTATTGCTTAACTCATAGTAACTTTCACAGGTGTTG